CTAAACAAGACGACCTGTGAGATTTATTAAGTTTGTTAACAATCTGTGCAGCTGATGAGTTGAAATTGCCTTTCTTGAATGCATATCTGGATGCTATAGAGTCAACTTTCAGTCATGGAGCAAATTTTGCAGCAAGCGGATCAACAATTCAACCAGCTGATAGCAAGTTAGTTGGGGCAGGTTTTAATCCCTTATCTCTGGATATACAGCTCTTGCAGTTTAAGCAACTTAAGGAACGCACCAACGAGCTTTATGGCCAAGGTTAGATATGCATACTTTGTGGCTTCAGAAGTATTCTGCAAGAAGTACTATGCAATTTTTGAAAAAAATTTATATTTTTTCATTTGTCATGATGATTAATGTTGTGCTTGCTTGTTTTTCGGACAAGAATTCAGATATTAGTATTACGGACAGGCTCTCCAGGCCAGAGGAGTTCTCAAAGGCCCTTTACATGTTAGATTGTGGACAGAATGATCTCCATTATCGCCTTGTAACAACTACAGAGGAACAGGTGAAGGCATCCGTTCCCAATATAATCAGTCAGTTTACTGTCGCAATAAAGGTAATATTGATGTTACTTTAATAGTTTTTCAGCATAGTTGCAGTTGGATTTTTCACCCTTAGGTGCTATAGATTATTGAAATTAGCGTCATGAACATGTAATTGAATGCCTTGCCTTTATTTAGATGACATGCTTTTAAGACATCTCATGTTCAAAAGTCACGATTGAATGACTTCTGTTTTGCCATTTTCTTTTTCTGTCTTTTCAGAAGCTCTATCAAAATGGTGCAAGAATATTCTGGATACATAATACTGGTCCCATTGGCTGCTTGCCTATTTTTGTTATAAATTCCCCTCCAAAACCTGGAAATGCTGACCAAGCCGGCTGCATTAAATCTTACAATGAAGTGGCTCAAGAATTCAACAAGCAGCTTAAAGACAGGGTTTCTCAACTTAGGGCCAAGCTCCTCGATGCAAGGCTTATATATGTTGATATCTACTCAGCTAAATACTCTCTAATTAGTGAAGCGAATAAACATGGTAGGTTTTACCCTATAATTGACCTTTTCAGTTATGTGACATTTTTCCTTTTGCTGTCAGAAGTTCTGTAGTGGGTTAGCCTTGGTGCTGTTGTAAGTTGTTCCACTGTGACCTGGTGGTCCCAGGTTGAAGCTGCAAGGGAGGGGAAAGACTGTGTAATTTGACCTCTCCTAGAACCCAGAATGTTGGAGCTTCTTCTAGTGAGCTGCCCTTTGTCATAAGTTCCATAGTATCAATTATGTCTGTAGCCTTTCAAAAAAAAAAAAAAACAATTATGTCTCTTTCTTTAGCAATAATAAAGATTTTATCTTGCTATTATGCTTATTCTGATGCCATATTGTTGATTATGTTTTTATTTGTCCACGCAAAATGCAATAGAAAATTAGAAATTTCATTGGAACATTCTGAGGCCCATTTTTGATTCGGTAATTGCAGGCTTTGTTGGTCCTTTTATGAGCTGTTGTGGGCAGTACGGTTATTATCACGTCGAATGTGGCAAGACATCGGTGGTGATCGCTACTGAAATTTTTGGGGCTTCTTGCAGTGATCCTTCCAAACACATCAGCTGGGATGGCATTCATTATACTGAAGGCGCAAACCATTGGGTGGCCAACAAAATTTTGGATGGCTCCTTCTCAGATCCCCCAGTTCCCATAACCAGAGCATGTCTCTAGCCTCTTTCTTATTGACTTATAAGCTCAAATATACTGCTATGTACTATTTCTTTATCCCTGGTAAATGAAAAGATTTTGATTCAGAGAGATGAACATTGCAGCCTAAAGAATCTCAACCAGATCCAAGTTGCCAGTTTCCAAAGAATAAACTCATTCTGGTAGGAATCAGTCACTGCCATGTTACATCCATCTGATATTATTGTTCAGAACACCACCACTCTCTCAGCATTAATTTTGTTAAACGCCCATTTGACATTTCGCCCATTTGCTCCAATTCCTGTAAATAAATGTGGCAAAAATCAAAGAAAAAAGAAAAACAAGGAACTGCTTTTACCAAATTATCGCCTTCTCCTATAGTTTGGTAATCAGAAAAGAAAAAAGATAGGAAGGCAAAATCGGTGGTTGCCGGTGGGGTAGAGCTATATTGCAGTGGCATTGTGTAGTACTAGTGGTGGACCATAGGAGTAATCTTCAAGTGACTGACAATACAATAGTACATAAGTTTAAGGAAAAGCAGCATTTCGAGGTAGGTTGGTTAAGACTGCGACAGGACGCCTGACATTAAACAAATTTATCTGATGAACATTAAAGCTGGACTAGCAATTAAAAAATTAAGGCCAAATGCATAGTTTATGATTTGGTAATCCATTAGGATTATATTATTCATCTAGATCTGACCTTAAACTTATGGTTTATGAATCCGAATTTATTTACCCAAGTCGAAGATTTTTCGTAGTTATGCTGCATTACAGCACAGTCTTCTACTTCAAACTTGCTGGCATTCTTTGCAAGAAAGAGGCTCCTTCAGCTCCCTGGAAAGATACTGATTTTAGTCCAGACGGAGTTTTTTCCCTTCAAATATTGGATCACGTGTCAAGTAGTAGCACGAGAATTTAGCACCGTCACCTGTTTGCTAAACGGTCTGAGAGCATCAGCATGGACGGGGCAAGACCCGGTATTGGTGTCAGTAGGAGATGGAAGACTGCTTCTGCTTGGGCTTCAAGAAAGAATGTAAAAACGTTTGCAATAGCAGCCTTCTTTGCTGTTGCCTTCTCTTTTTTCTTGCTCAGTGCAAAGCAAAGGAGTGTTGGTCAATTCAATGGTTGTGATTTTCCGGCCATATTCAACTTTGGTGATTCAAATTCAGACACAGGCGGAAAGTCTGCTGCCTTCCGCCGGATTCCTTTGCCTAATGGCAATACCTTCTTCCATAAGCCAGCTGGGAGATACTGCGATGGGAAACTGATCATTGATTTTATGGGTCAGTGAGTGCGCATTTCTTTTTCATTTCTTCAGTATTAATGACAAAGGCTGTTCATTTAAATGCACCCATAAGAAAGACTTATCCATTTGCACATATTATAGTTTTTCAATGCTTCGAGTTCAATGCTCGACCTTGGGACTTTTCACATCCTTAGGTTTTTGATTGTGGTAATTTCTTTTGTATATGATCTGTCAAGTAGTTTAAAATCTGTGCAAAGCCTGTATCTGCTAGGTGGTCACTTGACATAATTCCAAGCTTTCAATCCAAGTATTAAATCTGTGGTTACTCTTTGCAGCTGAGAAACTGGGACTGCCATATTTGAGTGCGTATCTGGACTCAATAATTGCAAACTTTCAGCACGGAGCTAATTTTGCTACAGCAGGGTCTACAATTCAGTCACTGGATGCCAGAATGTTTAAGCAAGGGTTTAGCCCTATTTCTCTTGATATACAACTTTTGCAATTTGAACAGTTCAAAGAAAGAATATATGAACTATACAAAGAAGGTTAGAAACAATTGCAGAAAGTAAGGGAAAAAGAGATATAATTGGACTTTTCATTTTTCGTGGAAAGAAATTTGCTGATATTTTTCTTCTCAGATGTGAACTCAAACATCAAAAGCAAGCTTCCAAGACCAGAGGACTTCTCACGCGCATTATACACATTTGATATTGGACAGAATGATCTTAGTGCTGCATTTAAGTCAATGACAGAGAAACAGGCTGTGCAATCTGTTCCGGGAATAATTAACCAGTTGGCGCAGGCTGTAAAGGTAAATAGAAGTTATGCTTACACAATTTTATCAGAGTCTGGAATTCCTTATAATAAATGAGGAGATTGATGTGGTTCCGGAAAACTCTGTATCTACAATTCTTCTGCATGCTTACACCATGCACGAAGCTGACTCTAAAGCACGGTAAATAGTCTAATTTTAACTTTCTATATGTATTTTCTTTTGTTAGGTTTCGGTAAATAGCTCAAATGAATAACTGGTACAACTGTGGCTAACGCTTTGATGCTCTGAGATATAAACTTCTAAGTGGCCAGGAAATATAATGGCACCGCATATTCTTTTTCATTTATTATTGCTCTAGGCCGAGCTGGAAAGGGCCTTGTTCATTTGTTGATGTTGTATTGCCCTAGGTAGAGAATAACATGGAAATTAGCGCTTGGGAATTGATATTACTGCAACTTGAATATCTTATCAGCCAAAACTAAGGACAAGCGTAGTCCTCCCCTTGTAAGAACAATCATAATTTCTTAGAAAGCTTATACAAATTATAGAAACTTGAAAGATAAGTAAGAAAACATCTCCATCATGCTGGCCCAAAGAGTCATGCAGTTCATAAATTCTGTTAATTTGAAACTTCATAAAGAGCAAGACAGAACCAACTTTGATGATTGTCCTTATATTTCTGTTGGACAATGCTCTTTATATTAGTCTGCTACATTTACAGCTCCTAGTTACTGATGCGCATAAGATTGGCCTTGATGTATTGCAGAAGGTTCAGCATACACTAGTAATAACGATATAATATAAATCCATTGAAATCTATTATTTCATTATTAAATTAATGAATGTCTAAATCTTTTTAAAAAAAAAGTTGACTTCATTTCTTCTGTTTCAGCGACTACACCATCAAGGAGCAAGAACTTTCTGGATACATAACACCGGTCCAACAGGCTGTTTGCCCTACCAGGTTCTAGATTATCCTCCACGAACTGAAAATATGGATCAAAATGGTTGCATAAGGTCTCATAATGAGGTCGCTCAAGAATTTAACAGGCAGCTTAAAGAGACAGTTTCCCAACTCAGGATGCAACTCCCAGATGCAGTACTGACTTATGTTGACATTTACTCAGCTAAATATTCTTTAATCTCTGAAGCAAAGAAGCATGGTAAGCTCAGTTGTCTACTTATCTTTGTTCCCACAGCCAAGATTAATAAAGGATAAACTTCTATGAGAAACTGCAAAGTGGAAACTCTCAATTATGAGCTTCACATTTCATTCTGTATGTTCTATATTTAACACCGACCCTTTTAGCAGGATTTGCAAATCCACTTACATATTGCTGTGGGCATTATCGAGATATAATGTGCTGGAGGAAGAAAATAGTGAATGGGACGGAAATTTTGGGGACTTCATGCGGCAACCCATCAGCTTCTATAAGTTGGGATGGCATTCATTATTCCCATGCTGCAAATTTGTGGGTAGCCAATAAGGCTCTTGATGGATTGTTTTCAGACCCTCCAACCCCCATTACTGAAGCATGCCACCTGCCTCTTCATTTGTAATTCTAGGCCCAAATCACTGGTTTGGGTCACAGACGCTATTCTGCAACAAAAATGTAAGTGTTCATAGATGTGCCGCTATCTTTTCTTTTTTCCCTCTTTCTGTGAGACCCCGACCTTTCATAGGGGATAGAATGTAAAAAATCCTTAGTTGAGCTTGTAAGAATTTTTGTTTTGAACTTATTATTAGTGTTTATATCTTGGAAAAATTGAAAACCAAGATGATTTGATGAGTATACGGATGAATGGAGTCCATGTGGACAAGTTTTAAGGCTATGTTTAACATTCTGGAACTGGAGTATTGATACATAAAGAATAAGTCTTAGTCTTAATACTTTCTATCCAGAAGACTCTCTAGTAGAGCTGGATGAATGAACTATTGAGATATGGAGTCAAAGTCTCAAAACCTTCAAACCAATAGAAAAGTATTGATACTTTTGGCAAAACTGAATTTTCACCCTTAAAACTCTAAATAGAGCACATTTTTCAAAAGTTTTAGACCCAGCGGCATTTTGTAACTCGCTTCTCAAGTCTCAGCCTCTCCTCAACCTTCTTGCTCCAAGGTTTCATTTTTGAAGAGTATTTTCAGAGTTATGGGTTTTGAAAACTTAAAAAAAAGTTGAGTTTCAATCTTAAAAGCTCTTGAATCTTTGTTTTCCAGCATTGAGAATTATTTCTCTCATTAGATTTCTTGTTGTCAGAAAAGGACTTGAAATCCTAAGTGGTTCCTCCCATTACAAGCTCGCTAAGGTAAATGAAGACCTAGATTTTAATAGTTGTGATGTTAGTTTAACACGTGACAGTAGATTTACGTACTGGAATATAGATTAAGAGAGATTAAGTTAGGATTTAAGTTGACCTAATATTGAGCTATAGGATTGTTGGATTAAAAGGAAGTTAATGTGTTAGTGATTACTGCTTTAAGATCATCGAAGCTTCAAGAGTTAGTGGAAGTAAGGACGCAACACTTCGAGCGCATGTTCGTCGACAACTTGATCAAAGTGGGTAGACACCTCATATTTAAAGTATTTTGTGATATGTAAAGTGAAGCATGTTTTATGAAATCCTTGGTTGAAATGCATTAAATGATAATGCTATGATTATCGATGTCTTATGTTGCATTGAAAGACTTTGAAAATGGATTTTGAAAAGTATATATACTATATGTAAATATGAGTACCATATACTAGTTTTGAATAAAAGGGAACAAGTCCTTTAAAATTGTTTTTACTCAAAGAATCTTTGATTGAATGCATGAGTTGAATGGTGCATAACTAGTTCATTGCTTATGTGATATATGATTGTCACTTCTTGTGATATGAATGTGGAGGATTATTGCCCACCTCTCAAAATGAATAATAGCGGATGTGTTGATGCCCACATATAATGAGTATGTAGATGTGGATATGTTGATGCCCACTCTTATGAGTATGTAAGTGTGGATTGTTATGCCCACACACATGAGCATGGGAGGACCATGAAGTAAGAACATGGTTAAGTGATGATGATTAAGAGTATGAATATGCATGTATTGATATGATTAATTCTATGCAAATCTATTGGCCTTGATGTGGGTGTTATACCACATTATATGAGAACTTATGATGTTTAGCATGATGAAAACGATTGATAGAGATAGATGACTTATGAGTATATGTTATGATTTATGTAAAAATGAATATGTAAATGAGCATGAGGACCAGATGTGGAGCGTTATTCCACACACATGGAAGTCATGATGTGAGGCATTATACCACACATGTATAAGGGCCATGATATGAGGCATCACATCACACATATATTGAAGGTCATAATCCGAGGTGTTGTATCACACAATTATATAGCCATGAGTTAGGGCAGATGTACCACTCTTTATAATTGCATTCATGGGCATGATTATTGCATGAATGCATAGTGCATGTGTTCATATGAAATGCACATGGTGTAATGATATTGTGACATGTTGGAATGCATTACAGATATGCATCTTTGAGCTTATGTGATTGTACATTGATTGACCTTGATGGGGGAATGATAAATATGGATAGAGGAAGTTGGAACTTCAATTGTGCTAGAAAATGTCCAAATTCTGAATTTATATGAAGGAAGTATCGAGACTTTGAACATAAGTGTCAATACATTGGAAACAGAATGCTAGAAGAGTATTCTATGATGAAAGTCTCAATGCCTCTGGTGAATGTATCCAGACCTCAGAGGAAAGTCTTGATGCCTCGCAGAAAGTAGCGTAAATATGCTATTTAATGGCTGCTTACTTGGTTTTAAGCTTCCAATCAGTCTCAATGACTAGATGACATGAATATTGATAAGATTCATAGAAAGGTACGTGAATAACAACATTTAAGACATTTGAATGTAATGGGTTGATTTATTCATGAAATGCATGTGGCTTACAAAGATACAGTTTAATGCAAACACTCTCTCTTTTAGTTTGTCCCCTTCCCGTGTTTGCCCATTGAGTTTTATGGTTCACCCCTCATCTGTTGTTGTTTTTTAGATTAGTAGCTCACTTGGCTTATCGTCTTGTGGAGAGTAACCAACTTGTGATTGGTAGGTGTGTTAATGACTTCCTTTGAAGCCTTCCTGCGTCTTACACTCCACAAGTCAAGTCTTGAACTTATTTACTGTAGAGATGATGATGTAAATAATTAAGTATACTTATTATGAAACTCGTATGTGAGATGTTGAGATGATGATGTAAATAATTGAGAATGGGTGCATGATGTTTGAGATAACTATGGGCTAAGGTTATAGATAAATTTTGAGCGCTAGAAAGAGTGCAAACTATATCTACATGAACTGGTTATAAATTGTTGTATAAACTAAATGAGGAATTGTTGATAAACTTCTTGATGAGTATAGCCATGAAGATTGATGATATTATGGGATATGTGGAAAAGGTTGATTGGGCTTAATAGGTTATATCATGTAGGTTCTTACGTTGATCACAATTCTTTGAAAATGAAATATGACATTTTTACCTTGCATTTAAAAGGATTATTAAACAATTTTGAATGTCCATGTTATAGGTAAAATCATTAAGGCTGGCTGATTTCCTGTTTGTCATGGAACCTTTAAAATTTGTTTTGTAGTATTCGAAATTTTGGATTTCATTTTATATTGAATTTTTTTTTATAATAATCCCTATTGTTAGCTCATCCGTATGGCTTCATGTTTATTGTCATACAAGAATATCCAGACTGAAAAATTGAAAGATAGTACATTACGACTCCACTGGGGATCGAACCCAGAATCTCTGGTTCCGTAGACCAGCGCCTTATCCATTGGGCCATGGAGTCATGCTATAAACGGCATCTTTTAGATATAATAGAAAGAAATTTGCTATCACTCTTTTGTCTGCATTTGGCAATGAGCTGAGCTAAACCGGTTCCTCGCAATCATGACTACAGAAAATAATGGATAAATTTAAGGGCTCTTTATATCATAGTCCATCTTACTTTTCGTTTGTTTGAGAAAAGTAACGGAAAAGCCTTAAACGCAAAATGCTGAAACCAAAAGAACTTCCAGTTGCTAATTAAGAGCCACCCAAGAAATAGAATTAGTTAACAATATAAGATACTAGGTTCAATTTCTGTCAGAAAAACATCTTTTGAAGCAAGCAGTGGTTGGGTATAGCAAAAACGCATAAACATGGTCCTGATATCAGTTGCAGGATATTTGTTTCAGTATCTTAGCCAGAATGAACAAGTTTGCGGCTTAACAAAAAGACCACACGCATCGTTTATTGGTTTCATGTCCTTGTCCCAGTCTGATTCCAATATAAGACTGCCCGTTGGTGTTGTGCAATTTGTCTGATAGTAATTGCTGATGAAGACAAATCAGATAAAGCAGCAACCTTAGCTTAAGATAAATATTATCTCAACTTAGCTAGACGGTTCATGCTCGAACTCAACTATCACGCCAGGCATAATCTCCCTTTTGTCTTTCATTAATCTGCGAGTTTTGAGCACCCTATTGCTACAAGGAAAGGTAACCAACGCCTTGATATCAAGCCTTTATCAAAACAGAAAATTATCACTGATGAGTGGTGACGCGTCAAACAAAATAGGCAAAAGCAAAGGATACACAAAATCTTAATTACACCCAAAAAGCTCATCCTTGAGGAATGAGGAGCATGACCCAGAGGAGGCTATCACTTCACAAGTTCAGAATCCTAAAATAGTGAAATCACTAAAAAGTGCCTGGTTTTTCTCTAAAAGCATTGCCCTTTTAGACTTAGAAAACAAAAAGGAAAGAAAATCTTGTTTGATTTGGATAAATTCAAAAAAAAAAAATCCAATGATACGCGTTATCCTCGGCTATTAATAAATAGGCGCTCCTCATCAATGAGTTGCATCCTCTACCTCTACAAATAATCTCTAGCTTCTCCTCTCCCTATGCTAATGGCATCTCTCTCCCCCATTTTAGCTACCACTATCTTTGCCATCTCCTTATTCAGCCTCACTCCATCCTTGGTGCTTGCTAGTAAGCCATGCCACTTCCCAGCAATATTCAACTTTGGTGACTCAAACTCTGACACTGGAGGCTTGTCAGCAGCATTTGGCCAGGCGGGTCCTCCGAATGGAGAGTCTTTCTTTGGCGGCCCCGCTGGCCGCTACTCCGACGGCCGCCTTGTCATCGACTTCATAGGTACACTTCTTACATATCTCACCTAAATAGTTTCTCGTTTTCCCTATAACAAAGATCAAGCAAGAAGGGATTGAATGCAGTGCGAGTATTCTAATATTAATTAACGGTTATCCCGAAATGATCTTAATTAATTAGAGCATTCGTCTTTTCATTTTTCTTTTACATATATTTGCTTTCTCACTCATTGGTCAGTAAACTGCCATTAACAAGTCAAACAAAGCAGTCAGCCTTAAGTAGACAGTGATTATTAAGCGTAGTCGTCCTTTTTTACTGATCACAGTAGCTTAGCAACAACAAGAAGAACATCCACCGACGCTTAGCCAAAGTAGGACTAGCTTCGGACGCGACAAATAAAACCATCTATATATAAAAAAAATAGCATATGATTCATGTCCTTGTCTGCTGTCCTGATCCCATTTTGCAGACTCCATTTCCACTAAAGGACTAAAAAAAAGTGTGGCACGTGCAAATTGGATTTTAGCAACTGCAAGCAGAAAAAGAGACGTAGGCGTGAATATTGGGTCTTGTTTCCTGCTCAAAAGAGAAAATGGG